GGCATAATGTAAATATAATGGAGTTAGATATTTTCCTTTTCCTAGGTGGTCAGATAAAATTATTTTTGAATTGCTTAGGAGATAGGGCAGTTAAGTAGGGAAAAGGTAAACCAACTGACCACAATAGAGGCAAGAATATCAATAGTTCAGTACTGGAGTTTCCCTATACAGTAATGAAATATGAAAAAATAGTATTATATCAATATTCAACATTGAAAGTTTTGGTTTCCTAAAAAAGTATGGTACATTTTGTTTATCTACAGGAAAAGATAGTTGAAAAGATAATAAATCAGTCGGTACTATTCATACACATATGCTTGTCAAGATAAAATGTGATGTAATTATAAGGATGATGTTAATGAGTGAGTTTAGATCCACAAACATTTTGTTCACCAAAAGAAAACAATACATAATATGATCACTTAACATTATAATGTTGGGATTATAGACATAGTCAAAATTTTGGATGTTTTACATCCTTTTAAAAAGTAAAGTGTCCCCATAATTAAGGCAAAAATTATTTATTTCATTTAATATGTCTAATATTCCCATTTCTATACTTCTTTCTCCTAGGATATAAAAATATTTTTACAATAAATATTAGCAAACACCTATTAGTAATGCATTATAAATAAATATCACCAAACAAAAATAAATATTACTTTTGGAGTTCAAAGAATTTAGAAATCTGGGCAAAAAAATCATGCCTATTATATAGTAACAGCATACAATATCTCTGAGAAATGGTACTAAAATGTCTTTTTTAATGCTGGCAGAAACACACTTCTTCACTGTACAACGTATTTGTCCAATAAACAGCTCCAGTTGCTTAAAAATGTGCTGTAGAAATCTACTCCTTAAAATAGCCTCTGAATCCTTGATGTTACCTCCGTTTTGAGGATCTTTCCAACTTAATCTGAAATCCTTGCATAGATTTAATCAGTCCCTAGGGAATCAGTAACCTAGGGGATTTGTGTACATTAAAAAGAAAAGCCTGAAGAAAGCACTGTGGGAGAGTCACCAGAAAAATGTTATGTGTCCAGCCCACAATAGGCCTCCCCTGTATAACATGCAGTGAGTAGGGGCTGGTCGTCTGGCCTTTATGAAGTTTGATCTTCTCATAAGTTTGAGATTACAGAACCCCAGAACTAAGAGGGCTGAATGAAGAAAATCACCTGTGTTCCCTCCCAAAGAAAATACACAGAAACTCAGAACCCATCAACTCAAACACAGAACTGTCCAATGAAGAAGATAGTCATGTTGTATGCTTCATAGAAGTGAAATTATTCTAAGACTAGAGGGTAGGGCATCGAAACAAGAGAAATGGGCTGACTGAGAAAAACACTTACTAGCACAGGACAGTGATAAAATGCACAGCTCATCTGTCTTTGAAACTGGAACTCTAGGTTTGCTGGTTCATGATGGCTTTTCAGGATATACATCCCTGGAGAGCACTAGAATAGATGACATAACTTGACTTTCAAAACTTGTTTGGCCAAGCTCTAACCATTACCCAAAAGGAAATATTTTTTCTTTAGAAATAAAATTTTGGGGAAATTTTACACAGTCATGTCTCTGCTTTGATCCATAATATGTTGAGTTGATGGATTAAATATCATATTTCCAGCTTTGGAGGGAAAGAAAGGAGTAATGGTAAACCCACATGCACACATGCACCACCCCATTCTGAGCTATATTAACTTAAGTCTGAGGTGCTAAGCAGTCTGTCTTTTCTCCTTTTGTACCCACTTAGCATATCTGACTTGCATTTAGGTAAGGCTTTGTCATTTGCCCCCCTCTCTCTGTCTCTTTGGATTTCCCTGTCTCTTTCTCTGCAAGCACCAAGGAAGAAACAGTATGTGTAGCTGTGCTATAGAACAGCCCACTTAACAGCACTTGACGGGAGTTGACTAGCAATGGGCATGCAGCCCTATTAGCTCTGCTGCAAATAACTCAAGTCATAGTAGAAACTACCTCACAAAAGGGTCAAGATCTCTTTAAGAACAAACCACTTGTAAACATTTAAACAGGAAACTGGTTGAGGATTCTAAACAACATGAAGAGTTCCTAACATCATCACTATCTCTCTTAGAAGAGAGAGCTCAACCCTTACATTAAACCTCTTTAAATAGAGGACAGAGAAATCGAAGTCTAAATCATCAGCCACTGTAGGAAACATGCAGGCTTCCAAAGTATCATTTTTTATATAATCTTAAATATGTAAATGCTTTATTCGTGCTTGAATACCTGCTTATCCATAAACTTCAGGATGGCAAATACTCACCATGGTCCATACCCGTATTTGTTGGGCATATTAGATTTCTGTGCTTCTCTTTAATATACTTAAATCTCATTTCTAAAGTATGTCTATTGCATTACTAGAAATGATTATATATTCAGGTTTTCAATCAACTGGTTTACTTGGTTGGATTGACTATAAATTTGTTGACATATATTGATGACTCCTCATTTTCGTGCCCAGGGATCATTTCTTCTACTCATTTATTTTCAATCTCTCTGCTTTCTTATTTGACAGTATCCTATGAGCAGCAAAACAGAGCACTCCAAGCTCATAAGGAATGGTGTAAACTAATTAGCAGATTTTATGATGGAAACTATTCCCCTCCCATGTGATCTTTCTGGTTGGGTAATAAACTTTGTAAATATATGCAGCTCTTACCACGTGAAGGCAATACCTCATTCAAACAAGCTCCTGTTTTACCCTTAGATTTCAGTTCATAATTGTGGACATGGTTCAAATACAGAAACAAACTGTCAGTAAGGGATGAGGTACTGTCTTAAAAATAAAATAGTCTAAAAAATGGATTTTGAGTTAAAAAAAATCTTGATCTTCTTTTGCAGCTGACAGAAAGAAAAATAGCCCTAATAAGATGTGTTTGAAAAAAATCTATACTATGACTGAAAAGACAATGTATAACTGAAATACAGGGAAGTCAGAGGAAATTCCCCTGCATGCAGGTGTGCAGAAGCACTGAAGGGTAACTAACGAACCCTAACTAGAAGTGTTGACTAGTTTGTTATTGGAAGAAGATCCAGAAATAAGAGTGAAAATCAGTGCTGGCTCATTACATCAGCAGTGGATTAACAACCCCCACTGCTACAGTTTCCTTCAACAGCAGGTGGATGGTTAGACTACTCTAGCTTTTTGCCCCCTGGCCTGGCATAGAATGAGTCCATGTCTTCTCCATGGATTCATGAATGACCACAAGTCATTGCAAGATGCATTTAATACCATGGTTGCCCTGCTTGCATTATTGTCAGATGTTCCTATGTTGGAAATTTTATCCACCAGTGTTCTTGTGTTTGCTTACCACAGGTATGATTTGCTACCAAAACACCATGCACAAAATTCCAAAATAAGCTAAAAGAATGGGGAGAAACCAAGAACAAATTTTCTATAAATTTATAGACTTCTCCATGAAAGCAGTTCATTCACTTTAATGCTAATTACCAATGTAGAAATATTATAATGTAAACAAAATATTGCTAACTTCATAGGTAAAGAAATATGGATTAAAAACAAATGGCTGAAATGCCATCTACAAGCTCTCTACCATGCATATAGTAAATTCCATATAAGTTTGGGTACGGAACTTGAAATATTGCTTATCATGACAGTACACATAAACAACCCTACACAAGAAAGCATTAAACATATTTAACAATGTATTTCAAATTTGAATTATTTGCAGATGGCATTCAGTCTTAATATGTATAGATATTTTATAGCTTTACCTAAACATAAATAATATATTTGTCTGATGTACTAATGCCAGAGGCATATTTTTATTCTGACGAATATGTTCATCAACCATGACTGCCTGTGAAAATTTAAGTATTCGGTATAATAAAAAAACACCCCTATGTGGAAATAGTAGGAAATAATCCATTTCATAAAAATAATAATTAGCTTGCCATATTCTATTACTGCTGACCAATTACTGTGGTGTTGAAGAATTCCTCTAGATTGAAAATTTTCTTTGAGTTGAAGAAAATCTGTAGACTGAGGTCAGGAAAGTCATAGTTCTCATGTGTTTGGGCAGAAAATTTCAAGAATATCAGAACTTAGATTATAGAAGAAATTAAAAAGATAGAACTTTCTATTATAAATGAAAAAATAAAGGATCAGAGGACTACTTAGTGATGCCATTACAAGTATGAAGTGTGCATATTTAGACAAAAACTAAAAAATTAAATATCAAACCACATATAAACAAAACATTAACAAGGAAAATGGTTTATTTAAGAACACAAGTTTTCTTTTATTATAAGTTTAAATTTCACATAGCATTGTTGACACTGATCAAATAGTATACACTAAAATATACTTAGAGCATACAATAAGTATGTACTGTTTGAATCTTCATAAATGATGCTAAAATAACAGTTCCTCTTTCAATAATTTTATTTTAGCAATAAAAAATGTATAGATGTTAGTCAAATTCATGTTCCCAGTAGATTTTAAAAGCTTCAAAGAATACATTTGATGAAATTTGCATTTGATTTGGAAAAATGTCTGTTTAACAATTCAACATGGCCATATTTTAACTTTTAAGCTCTCACACTGAGAAAGTATCAAGGTATTGTAGCAATTTACTCTTAGGAACATTATGCTGGGCTTTGAAATTCAAAATATAGAATATTTCTTCTTGGATTATTTTATGATCAATGTACAGTCTAAGCAAGGAAAATTAAAGCTGTCTGACAACTCATAGAAACATCACTGGCTGTTAAAGATGTAGGAAATTGCATAAAAGCATGAAAAGCACTGGGCAATTTTGCAGTTTCATCTCTAAACACAATTGTAAAGACGTCTGTCTTTCAATTCTTTCTCCCTCTTTCTTCAGAAGCATGGCCTTTTAGTTCTTGCCCTTTTAAATAGCTTTGCCTACTGTAGCTTTGCTTCTTAATGTACTGGTTGATCTTACTAGGCAAAGAAAGTGTTTACAGGGGATGCTTGCTTTTATCTGTATTCACAGAGAATGCTAACAAATTAGAAGAAAGTGCCAGAGAACACCACATACCTTGTCCAGAACATTACAATGGCTTCTGTATGCATGGGAAGTGTGAGCATTCTATCAACATGCAGGAGCCGTCTTGCAGGTAATGTTTTCACTCCTAGACTTTTAAAATGTATAGGTAAAACTAAGTTTTAAATGTTTATGGAGGCTTGGTGGCATTCTGCTTGAATGAATGATCAGCATCAGAACATCTCTCTGCCTTTCTTATACATACATACACACACGTATGTGCAGGTGCGTGTGTGTGTGTGTGTGTGTGTGTGTGTGTAGAGGGAAGCTGTGCACTCAGAAACCATAAAATGTGTATGCCTTACACACTCAAGTACCATGTAACACATTGCAATTTACACTCTTCTAGTGGAATTTAAAATTGTACTTTGCACATTACAATATACTTAAAGATACAGGCTATTAATTATTATGTACACTCTTTTCCTTGAACATAGAACAGTGCTTGACGCTGTTCATTAAATATTTCAAACGAGTAAATGTTACTTTGGGAAGGTGATCATTTCAAAAGTCCTTCACCTCCTAATAAATATCATTCTTGGTGTTGCCAGGCACTCAGTCACTGTTTTCTATGGATCTGCTATCCACGCAGCTTTGCAGAGTGAGATGAGTAGCCACACCTCTATAGTAGAGACACAAAGAAAACTTGCTCCACAAAGGGTTGCCCCAAGCCTTCAATTTGTGCAAAGCACAGTATCTGTAAACACAATAAAGGGAAGCACAATAAAATGGAAGAAAACAAAAAATCGCTTGTCTGAATTTGGTTTATAAATATCTGCTGAGTATTTTATCTGGGACATAGTATAATTATTTCAGAGATGGACAAGTCAAAACGGGGGAAAATGTATTTTATTGAAATCAATATACAAGTGACATATGACAAAACAGTTATTTTTAATACATAAATACATAAAAACATTCTTTCTGGTTCTTCCCTCACTCTCTCTTTCTGCCCCCTCCCCTTCTCCCTCCCCTCCCTTCCTCTTCTCTTCTCTTTCCCCCCACCCCAGGACTATCCTCCTTTCTGGTTTTCCTACACTGTAGGCATTAGCACCTGCCTCCTAGTGACACGAGGCAGAGTACACATAGTGGAGAGATTATCTGCTGCTCCCACTCTCCTCTGTAGTCTCCATTGTTAAGCCCTTCCTGATGCACAGAGCAAGACTCCAGGATGTAGATAGGAGAAATTCAAGGTCTAATACTAAAATAGTTCCAAAAAAAGTCAGTGACAAGTCAATCCCCTTTAGTATTTTTTTTCTGAAATGTTTCCTCATTTCATTGTCAAATGCTAACTTTAATATGCAAATCTCTACCTGAGCTTGTGGTTGGTGATTGAGTGAGAGGCAACATTCATTCCCAGAGGAATCATACATGAGCTTGCTTTGCAGAACTATAAGGCCACTATCAGAATTACTATTTTATCTCTATTTTTTTCTTTTAATTCGCTTATTTACATTTTTAGTTTGAGATGGGATCCCACTCTGTTAACCAGGTTGCTTTTGAACTTGTGGGCTCAAGTGATCCTCCTGCCTCAGCCTCCCAAGTAGCTGAGACTATAACACAACACTGCATCCAGCTATAATTACATTTTTCTAACAAATTCTAACTCCTCAATATCAACATCAGCACATGATTTTATGGTTAACAAATTAAAGAAATAACTCTTGCTATACCTCTGGTTTTAAGGTTTTTCAAAAAATTATTTCCTGATAATAGAGAATACTTTACTTTGGGAGTTTTTGGTTGTTTTTGTTTGTTTGGTTTTGATTTCTCCGTTTGTTTGTTTGTTTGTGTACCCCTGTTATAAGAAAAAAACTTTTTCTCAAGTATACATATTGGCTTAGGTTGATTAAAGAGCAAATTAAATAAAATTTAAAGCTCACCTGATAAATAAAAACAGAACAATTCTCCCTGAATGGGTATCCTCTTCTGTCTGTATTATCATAAAAACAATTTGTCTAGCAACACTATCTTCTAAATTCAGTTTTAAATATAGAAAGGGACCGAACATCTTCCAAATTACAGATAAATTGAAAGAAAATAATTGAGAACAAAAAAATTTCATGGTGAAGAACAATGTCTATTAGTCAACTATAAAAATGAATCCAGAAGCTACAGGTAACAGGATACTGTAATTTCTTCCAGGTGTGATGCTGGTTATACTGGACAACACTGTGAAAAAAAGGACTACAGTGTTCTCTATGTTGTTCCTGGTCCTGTACGATTTCAATACGTCTTAATTGCAGCTGTAATTGGAACAATCCAGATAGCTGTCATCTGTGTCGTGGTCCTCTGCATTACAAGGTCAGTAACTTTACTTGGTGACTCAAATAAAGGGATGCATTGTCCTTCCTCTTTCGAATCAGATCTGTCTGGTTATATGGTCCCTTAATGAACTCCATACCTATCCATTCTCCATAAGTCCTGATTCCTCATCATAAGACTTTTTGAATAGTCAAATAGAAAGACATGGATTTTCACGTTGGACTAGTACAAACTATTTTTTTTAATCTTTGCATTATGATGAAGATTATTTATGTTCTAAGCAAAGGTCTTTTTTATCCCTTCTAACATACAATGCTAACCTTTCTTTAAATATATCTTTCTCTCTTAACTAATAGCCCATGTAAATGACTAATGTATCCTTACCTACCCAGATCAGTATGCCAAATTAAATGAGGGTATATTTTATACAAGGCCCATAAAGGTGTTACATTGGAGCTCTCATTTATAGCACTTATATTTCTAAATGTAAGTCTCAGATATAACAATTTTAACATACTTGGTATAAACATCAAATATTTTGTATCTTAAGGTGACAAAATAGCTTTTAATCACAAAATTCAAAAATCATTGTAATGAGAAAGATTATATTGTAGTAAATGAAGACTTTTAATACATGCAATCTTTAATACAATGCAATAAATATCACAACAAACTTTTATATCAAACACCCTGTCCAATCAGAAGGTAATTATTTCCGAAGGAATAAGGTCGAGAAAGAGTGGAGGTTCCATCTAGTCTCAACAGGAAAGCAAAGTATGTAATGTTTGTCATTGGGCTTGGAATAACTGAATGAGGCCAGGGACTTGCTTGATTTAATTAGTGTGTGACCATGGTAACCAAGAGTTAGATTCTAAACCAAATGCCTATCATTCATGTCCTGTGTAACCAAAAACGTTATTGAAGATACTTCTTTCTAACCAGATTTCACTCACCTTTATAAAGTTCCAAGGAAGTTCTTTAAGGTTTTTGCCAAATCCATGAGGCATTTCACTCATTTGTACAGCTCTCCAGTAAATCTGAATGTTTCCCCAAAAATTATTTTCAAAGAACAAGAAAATGAAAAAATATCATATCTTTAGAAAATAAAGGCCATAATATATCTCACTCTCTGTATTTCACTGTCTTCTTTGAGGATAAGTGTGGCATTTGCTCTTGAAAAAAACAAAATATGATTCATAAATCCTCACCTGACCTAGAGGCTTAAGGGACGATCATCGACTGCAGCTTTGTGCTGCTCTAAGCCAAGCTGAGTTTGTTAACTGCACTCTCCTGTTTAGATGGCAAGTGAGTCAATGGATTATATTAAAATAGATTCTGGAGAACATAAAGATAACTCAAGCAACAAAAAATACTGAGTATTAAAAAGAAAAGATAGACAAGAATCTGAAACACAGAAAACTGCATACTACTCTGAGGGTCTTGAGCTTTCTAATATCCAAGCAATATCAGTACATGAAAAACAAAATTCATCTTTAGTGGATATGATATCATAACAATTTTATTGCAACTTCATATATTTTTTAGATTCAGCAGATGTTTTCAACTCTGCTATTAATTACAGTTTCATCCCATAAATAATAAAAACAAAGGGATACACAGGGTTCTTGCTTCACCAAGAATTGTGTGTATGTGCACGTGTGTTGTGTGAGTGTGTGTGTAACTGTACACATGTGCACATTTAATAACATTACAAAGAATAAACAATTATCCTCATTTTTTTAGGTAGAGATTCTGAGGTCTGAGAAGTTAGCAAAGTGTCAAGTTCATAGAGTTGAGTGATAAGAACAAAAGAGTTGTCTGGCTATCTGGTCTCAGACCTGTACCACTGCTTATACTGCCCGGTGCCTGATTCTGACCTCCAAATCAGAATAAACCATGTTTACAAGCGTATGGCCTTTTTCATTTTCCATGTTAAAACTAAACACAGATCTACATTTACTTTTTAGGAGGAACAATAGCATTTGAACTAGATTCACATTACCATAGTGTACTTTATAAGTCTGTTCTCAGACCACCAAACATTTCAAAGCCTCCAGGAGTCACACTCATCAGTGAGCTACACCAGTTCCTGGGGTGGATCCATTTCTTTTATTCTGCTTAGAAACCATTCCCCCTCCCATTTGAAACCTCTCTAACCTAGTGATCCTGCAACCCTTGTTTGTCCAAACTTATTTCAAAATATTCAGGTGCTAAAACATTTACAAAATCACACCAACCAGATATCCACTCATTCTTTGCAATTTTCTTTCTCACCTCTCCTCCCCCCTCCATCTTTTTACCATGACCTTTCTTTTTTCCTAATCTCTGCATCTTTATTTCAGTCAAATACCTTCACTCCTCCCAAACAATGTGTGTCACAACAAATATGGACACTAGAGACAAGTTCCAAAATGAAAAGAGTTGTCCTGTTGAGAAGTTAGACTTTTAGTCTTTTTATCTCTAGCTCCCACTTGCTAGGAATGCAATTTCCTGCTCCATGTTCATTTATGATGGGTATGTGTCCCCACCAATCTACACACACACACATACACACACACACACACACACACACACACACACACACCACGTATCTACTATGTAAGTGTCTGCATATATATATGTGTGTGTGTGTGTTTATATATTCTCTGAGACCCCATAGCTTGTTATCATGGGGGTTTTATGGGAATTTTGTTCCTATTTGCATGATCAAAACAATCTTCTATTACAAGAGAAAAAATACTAGATCAGAGATTTTCAGATAATTTGACTGAATATTAGCTTTTTATAGAAGCTACATAATTGGTATCCATTTATGTCTCCAGCTGATAGTATTCATGCACACACAAAAAATGGTTATTAGGCTAAACCAAAACAATATTCCTTCCCATTATATATCAGGTATTAACAGTTGGCTCATTCTCTGGTGTGATAGAATTTTAACTCATAGGATTGAAATGTCAATATAACATTCATCCTTAGGACGTTTAGAATATAAAATTGTTGAAGACCTTTAAAGCGAGATGCGATGAGCTCACGATTTGCTTGATTGCATCGTGCTGAGTCTGTTCCTTGTGCTTTAATGAGTAAGCATTTGAGGACAAGGTAAATGTATTCCTCTTCAACTTCCAGTTCTGTTCTTCCGTTCTCAGCAGACACTTAAAGACGACCTCAAGGAGAAGCAAAACATAAAGTTTCTAAAATAATCCCAGCTTCTACTAGTACTTAATTCTTTCATCCGAGACATTTAAATAATTTGCTTAATCCACAGCTTCACTCTGTAATTGTAGGACCAAACTTTAGGTAATCTCATTGGACTAAGATCTGTAAACTTTCCAACCTTCTAGGAAATGCCCCAGAAGCAACAGAATTCACAGACAGAAGCAAAACACAGGGCACTACAGTTCAGACAACACAACCAGAGCGTCCACGAGGTTAATCTAAGGGGAGCATGTTTCACAGTGGCTGGACTACCGAGAACTTGGACTTCACAATACAGTATTATAGACAAAAGGATAAGACAAGAGATCTACACATGTTGCCTTGCATTTGTGGTAATCTACACCAATGAAAACATGTACTACAGCTATATTTGATTATGTATGGATATATTTGAAATAGTATACATTGTCTTGATGTTTTTTCTGTAATGTAAATAAACTATTTATATCACACAATATAGTTTTTTCTTTCCCATGTATTTGTTATATATAATAAATACTCAGTGATGAGAAAAAAATGGCATTCTTAAATCTGCGGTATTTCCTAACTCTGAATATAATCCAGCTAGTACAATCTGTACAGGTACCAGTATTTTATCTCTTTCCACATCTGGCGACAGCACATTAGTTTAAACAGGACTCGGTGGCTAAGTTTTGAGTGATTCCAAGATCAAGGGAAATGATGGTTATTGGAAAAGAGAAAAATAATTTACTTTATATCGAGTGAGGATAAAATATTTCTGATCTTTGAATCATTTCTATTTCATCTACATTCTTCCCTGGTCTTCCCTTTTCATCCCCAGAGCAGAAAATCTAGGGCATATAAATTAAATCAAAGAAGAAGGGGAGGGAAAGTATTTTATAACTCATAAAGGAGAGGGAAAGAAGATATTGGTTTTATTTGGGAAACAGCTAAGAATCCCCAGTTAAGTGTATATATCCGAAGGGTCCTGAGTGAGTTAATTATTAGGTATACACACAGTGGAAACGTCTATTCCATTTAGGTGAATGAAATTAACAGTAAGGGGGGAAATTTAATAACTTGGTAAATTGCCAAAACTGTGACTTCTCAGAAACACCTCACTATATTTGTAGTATGAGATTTTTAAAAAGAAGTTAGGCTTACAACCAAATACCCCATAAATAGCTTTACGACTAATGAGGCACCATTATTTAGAATGGAATTAAGACAATGACAATATTGCATGAAAACAGACAATTAATCCCATAGCATCTGAAGGATGTTAGTGAAATTCTGGTGTTGATTTTTTGTTTGATTTAAGCATATGAATAAGTATGGCCATTTTAGAAAAAAATTAAATTATGAATATTCTCAAGGAATAAGATTAAAATAACTAATCAAATAGTTGCCTTATTATATTTATCACTAGATAGCTTTCCATGGCTCATACAGCAAATTTAAATAAAGCTTTCTTTGTATCCTTCAAGTGACCTCTCTGTCTACTAAAAGAAATGATGCTCCTATGTCCAAAAAAAAGGACACAAATATCAAACCAATATATTCTGAATACAAAATTATTCAGTGAAAAATAAATGTATAAGGTATTTTTTAAAACATAAAAGTGACAATATAAATGGGATTTAAGACTTTAAAAAATATAGTTTTCCAGGTCAGTCATAGTTTGAAGGGTGTGACTGTATTGGCATAAACATCACTCAAATTTTTTATATAGGCCAGTCCTATGATGCTTGGATAAGACAATTCCTTTTAAACTGCTGCATGGATGTTTCATTTAATTGACATGTGCATAGATAGAACTAACCATAAGATCCTTTAAAAGGTAGTAGTTATGGCAAACA